CAATGTGAATGAGCCCTAAAGCATCCCACACTGATAAGATTATTTGCATTAAGGGGATAAGGATCACAAGTATAGCTTATAAAAATCATATAAAAAATATATTTCCCCTTTAAACGAAACCTGTGGTGTGCCATTGCCAGCCTCTTTATGAAAAAAGTCAGAATTAAATCAGAATCGCCATTCTGCATAATCAGTGGCTGTAGCTGGGAAAGTCCTGAAGCCACTGGATAAGCATGACAGCACTTTTCAGAAGTAGAGATCAGCAGTGGAGACCTCTATATATCTTTCAGCACAGGTTTCCTTTAAAAGCTTAATTTCCCATAGCAGCTTTGCTCCTCAGTGTTTGCATGTACACGATGCAGAACATTAAGGACAACATTCTAATTAATTACCAGACTTTTCAGACTTACTGAGAAATCCTTTGATCCTCAAATCAGAGCAATTTCCATTAAGCCCTATTCAAATCCTCCCTAATTGAGACGTAGTAGCAGTCCATTTATTAATCAACCATTAGCATCCCAGCAAAGGTTACACATCTAGAGGACGCTTAATGAGTAGAATCTCTTCTCGCTGATGTCTAAATGATACATTGCTTCCTATTATATGAGGAATGCAGAAGAAAATCACAACATTGGGTTTTTAAAGAGAACATCCATGAAAACAAGTCTCCATGATTTTGTTTAAGGAAAGCACTCTAAACTAAATTTCCTTTCTTCTGTATAAATATATTCTGTCTATCTATCTATCTATCTATCTATCTAATTTATTTTTTATATAAAAAAAACTTTGAAGGAGCAAGAGTTGTACACATGAAGAAAAAAAAATTGACAACAAATAACAAAGGTGCTTTATCTATTAACACAGTGTGATGGCTCAGTGGTTAGCAGTGTTAGCTGAGGGTCCCAGGTTCGTATCCTGGTCAGGAGATTATCTGCAAGAAGGTTTCGCGTTCTCCCTGTGCTTGGATGGTTTTCCTCTGCTTTCCTTGTACACTCCAAAGACATGCTGGAAGGTTATTTGGCTCCTATATGGGTGTTCAATAGGGTCCTTAGTTTGTAAGCTTTTATATAGTTATTTATCTCAGTGTTTCAGCACATGTGCGTTGGAGTGCCATTCACAATGAATGCTGCTGCACAGCACCAACACGCATAACAAACACTACCCAAGAAACTTCTGTGAATGGGCCTTAGAGGATTAGAAGTAACAGCTGGGTATTAAAACTCACAATTCTAATCAATAAGAGTTACCCAATAAGTGCAATATTCACAAAGCATTAATTAAAGTATATGTCAAGTCAAACATATTTTTTCTAGTTTTGGAAAGAGTGAGGAAGAGTTAGAACCCCTGTCAGGAATTAACTGCTATCTGAGGCTCTGGTAAAGTAGAACGATGGCCTCCCATTGAAGAAGGTATGTGCTTCAGCAAATGTATTTTTTTTTAGGATTGGTCCTCATAGAGGAATTGAGAGCACATATATTACATGGTAAAACCAGACCAAAACATCTTTTTAGTTTTGGCAAAGTAGAGTTGGTAATATCGGCCGTAGACGCATCGAATTTGGTATGTGATCCATCATTCCATCCATATGCTTTGACTGATTAGATATTGGAGGCAATCAATAGAGCACAAATGGTAAGAAAGCCTTGATCAGCCCAACCACTTAGGAAAAGAAATCAAATTTGATCATTTTATAATTCATGGCTTGCTCAAAACATCACAAGATGCGCTTGAAGACTATTAGAATTTTCCCACACATCAATTTATTATAAAACAAAATGGCGGTGGGAACCATTGACAATTTGTGGATTTGATCAGAATATTGAAAAGCTTCATCAATCAGATCGATAAGTGCACGACTATTGTTAAAATTTCTGCCCGGTGTTAATTGTTGCCTGTGAGCTCGCTTCCTGTCCCAGTGACACCCAAAAAAAAAAATAGATAACTGGTGTCGCCAGGTTGGGAAGAGATAGAATCAATAAAAATAACACAACAGACATATGAACTCTTCCCTACTGTTCCCTATAAAAAAGTTTTGGCTGAAGTTGAACTTCCTGTTTGCCCGGGTGCTAATTCTGTGAAATTTCTGTCTTGTGAACTTCCACTTCAATGTATCAGAATTTCCACAGAATACGCGAAAAGCAATGGAATGTAAATGTGGAGGAAGTGATGGAAACAAGTGACTGGGACGTCTAAGCAGCCTTCAATAAATAGGTCAAGTTGTAAAATGGAAAAATAGTGAAATAAACAGAAACGTAACCATTGGGAACCTTGACTCGGTCATACTAGACAAACGAAGTCGGCACAAATTATTTCACAGCTTGTCTTACACTGACACAAACACATACGCTGCCAAGATCACTTAAAAGTATATCTAAAGCCAAAACTTTTTTCTCAATTTGGGAAGAGTAGGGAATGGTTAAAATCCTAATAATCCCTATGGCTTCCTTTCGCCATCAATGTGCCATTGAGTATACCTTCACCCTGGCTTGTAGTTACAACAGGAAGGGAGGGGAAATTTCCCCCAAATTGGGCCAATCACCTCTTAGACAGTTGTCGCCAGAACAAGGGCCATGCACCGTACGGCACTAGTGCCCCTAGATGGCACTGATGAGTATATTTCCTATACTCGACAACGCCATCTAGAGGTGCTAGTGCTGTGTGAACAGCATTGTGAAGCCTCAAGTGTCCCCATTGGGCACAAGCACACCTAGATGGCGCTGGCAAGTATAGGAAACTCCTATATTCTTATACTCTTCAGCGTCATCTAGGGGTGCTGGTGTCATGCAAACTGCGTGGTTGGCGAGTATAGGAAACTCCTATATTCCTATACTCATCAGCATCATCTAGGGGTGCTGGTGTCATGCAAACTGCGTGGTTGGTGAGTATAGGAAACTCCTATATTCCTATACTCATCAGCGTCATCTAGGGGTGCTGGTGCCATGCAAACTGCATGATTGGTGAGTATAGGAAACTCCTATACTCATCAGCATTATCTAGGGGTGCTGGTGTCATGCAAACTGCATGGTTGGTGAGTATAGGAAACTCCTATATTCCTATCTAGGGGTGCCAGTGTCGTGCGAATGGCACCAGCAGAACTTTTATAAATAAAGTGTCTCCATTGGAAGATTTCCCCTCTCTTCCTGCTCTGGTGACAACTCAGAAATTGTTGGATTTTTCCTTCACTTTCAGTCCAGATGAGATTGGTCTCCAGGACAAATAGAGAGAGTACATTAACCTAATGGGGATACAGCAGCAATAACAGAGGTTCTAACTCTTCATCACTCTATCCAAAGGAAAAAAATATATGTTTTGGCTTTGGATACACACCATTCACACCTCTTAATTTGCAATAATGTATGTTTTTCATGCACTGACATACGTTGCATTACGGCAGTCCATCCACTGTGTATGGGCCACTAACAAGTCTCAATGCAGAAAAACATAGTCCGGCACTTCGCTTTGGCAACAAAGCGCACTGCAACGCAAGTACATTTACATGTGTGCATCATGGTGCACTGAAATGCAGGGGCATTGGTTGATACGACACATGTGTTTCGGAGGGCCAATCAGAACGGATGGTGATGCACCGCAATGCATGCATTACAACCAGAGAAACACACAAATCTAGTTTATAAATAAAAAGCTAATTGGCTAAATTAAGAATAACATAAAATCTGAGGTGCTGGGAACATTCAAATTTGTGCATGGAGTCAGATGAAGAAAAAAATTCAAACAAATTCAATAGCTCTGACGAGGCGGCTCCACACAGCGAGGCTTCCCTCAATGAGTACCCAACAATAGACCAAACCATAGAATTACAGAAATGAGCACCAGACCAATAAATGACTGAAGGAGTCCAAGATAAATTTAAATTGTTGCTAAATAGGTCAAATAAAAAAAAAAAACAGCCAACGTGTTTTTGGGTCAAGCCACTCCTCCTTCATCAGGGTTGAACACAGGATAAGCTTGGATGATGACACAGATCTATATTACAGCCCGTATTAAACTCTCCCCATGGAGTAATGGCTGCTGAAACACATTGGCTCCTTTTATATGACCTACTTGCCAACAACTAAAAATGATCTTGGATTCTTTCATCTGTTTTTGGTCAGGTGTTCCTTTCCATAATTCTGTGGGTTTAATCAGCTGCTTTAGACAGCTCAGTCAAACTGCTTGGAGGTCGATAAATGATCAATTGAGCAACCATCCGCCCCAGTTGAATACTTGATATTCAGGAGATTGGTCATTTTTATTAATCGATATTTAAAAGGTCAATCGATGGTCAATTGACCTTAATGGCCAAAAATAAACTTCTGACCAAACAAAAGATCGTTCAAATGTATTTGAGCCTATTTTTCACAAATCAATTTCCTTAGGTAGCTCATGGGCCAACCATGACTTCAAGAACAAGCTTTGATCAGTCGATCTACATAGATCAGCAATCAATTATTTGATCTTCATGTACAGTTTTCCGTATAGTAGATGGGTGAGTCCGGGGAAGAACTTTTATAAATGAAGCCCTAAGTGTTCCCATAAGACCAGCAACTAATACTACGATCATCATGTACAGTTTTCCGTATAGTAGATGGGTGAGTCCAGGGAAGAACTTTTATAAATGAAGCCCTGAGTGTCCCTATTAGACCAGCAACTAATTTTATGATCATCATGTACGGGTTGCCGTATAGTAGATGGGTGAGCCCGGGGGAAGAAATGTTTTCAAATGAAGCCCTAAGTGTCCCCATTAGACCAGCAACTAATTCTACAACTATGATGTACGGGTTTCTGTATAGTAGATGGGTGAGTCCGGGGAAGAACTTTTATAAATGAAGACCTAAGTGTCCCCATTAGACCAGCAACTAATTCTACAGCCATCATGTATGGGTTGCCATATAGTTAGATGGGAGAGTCCAGGGAAAAAGTCCTCTGCCTGGTCTCAGCTTTGCACAAACACAATGAAAGTTGCTGTATAGACAACAGAGACACATAGAGTACGTTATTACCTCGAAAGGTCAGAGTTGCTTGTCGTTCATGTTTTCCTGGAAGGTTGGTCACTCTCTTCAGACTGATACTGAGAGCCATGGTGTCCTGGTTGACTATACGGGGGCTCCTCTGGGCCACCTATGTGGGTGTCATTCCAGTGCAGAAGGTGTACATAGACCGTCAGCTACAAGAGCGATCTCCCACCCCAGTGTGCTATGTCCTGGCCGCATACTAGCTCTACAGGTTCTTCATTACGCTGTATACTTGCTGAGCAGGTTCCACACACACCTCGGTCACAGGCCACCCGCCTCAAATTGTTTCCTTAAACACACAGATGTATGAGGAACCTTATCACATCACTGAGGGCTACAGAAGGCTGTGTGCAAGCTGCCACCTATTGCCTTCCCTGCCTTACTGTACCTCTAGAATATTCCTCTAAGAACATAATAAACCATCGGGCCGTCATACTTCACTGCTGAACGATAGGAACATGTAAGACAAACTCCAATTAGTTGTCGGTGCAAAAAATACATATTTAATTTGTTATAAGTAACTGCATTTGACTTGGTATCAGCCTCATGTAATCCCATGTAAAGCAGCATCCAGACTGGGAGAGGGAGGGAAGGACTGGGGGGGCCAATCAGTTATGCTGCCTAGTAGGGATGAGCTCAAGTTTGGACTGACCTTGGCCTGAACCTGAGCTCTTCCGAACCTGGAAATCAGCTGCAACCGCCTCCAGCTGCGCGTAACAAATAGGTGGCATGCGGTGACATCCCTGACCTTATATGGTCACATGTCTATACTTGGTCAAAGACTTTGACTTAATACAATCATTCGGCCATATTATTATTATTATTATTACATAGTATTTATATAGCCCCAACAGTTTGCGCAGCGCTTTACAATGTAAGGAAGACATTACAATTACAATACAATTCAAGACAAGATGGTAAGGAGGGCCCTGCCCCTGAGGGCTTACAATCTGAAAGAGGAGGGGGAAATGATACATGAGGAGGTAGCTGTGTGGGGATGAATTGTTTGAGAATGTGATTGAGAATGTGATTGAGAATGTGATATAAGGTCAATGATGTTACCGCAAGCATCCTGCACCTTTATTTATGTGCAGCTATGAGGAGGGGAATGCACTCACCCACAGCTGATTGGGTTGGTGAACCCATCACCCTTCAGTGTTTGGAGGAGCACAGGTTCGGTCTGTTAGATCGAACAGAGTAAACCTTTCCATGCTGGGTTTTTTTTTTTCCTGACATCGGAGCCGCCGTCAGTCAGAAAAAAAGAAGAAAAAAAACAGCGTAGGAATGCATAGCTAAATTCCTATTGGCTATTTCACTTTGCAATAGCCAATAGCAAACTAGCCATTGCACCCGCCCACTGCTGCTGTCAATCAGCAGAAGGGGACCTGAAGTTCTCCATTAGGTGCCCTTCTAGTGATTGACAGCAGCAGAGGGCGGGTGCAATAGCCAGTAGGAATCTAGCTATGCATTCCTATGCTATTTTTTGGGGAGTGGTTTTCTGACTGACAGCGTACGGCGGCTCCAATGTCAGAAAAAAAAAACCAGAGCAGGGAAAGGTTTACTCTGCTCGATCGAACAAAGTAAACCTTTCTGGGAGAAAGTGTTTCTCTCCCGGGCGGCCGGGAGCCGCTATCTAATAGCTGTCTAACGGTAGCAAAATTACAGCGATGAAGGAGCAACGAAAATAATTTTACTGTTAGAGGTCGCCACAACTTGGGCAATTTTATCAAAAGGTCGCGGCACTAGAAAGGTTGAGAACCGCTGCATTAGGGAGATTCACCCTCTCTATTCACATATCTGAAAACCTGCCAGCTTTCACCTGGAGATGCTGCATTTTTTTCCGCTGCGGCTACCGGGAGGGGAGCTCTTTCAATGGGGACACTTGTTCCTGTAACCACCCTTTAAGAGATTTTCCCCTACACAGGAAAGATTTCCTCTAATTTCCTGCTGAGCATACAGGACAGGAAGTGAAGGAACATCTCTCTAATGAGACACAGGTGGCACAAAGAAACCAGGCAGCTGTTTTAACCCTTCCCTACCTTATCCAAAGATATTACTTTACCTTGTATGCAGTATGGAGGAAAGGTTACTTCACCGCAGGAGAATCTATGACATCAGGTAAATTCCTGTGAACAATATTAACACCCTCTACACGTAGAATCCTCTGAAACGTCACGTATTTCACCGATAGGATGACTCACTGGTTACAGGCTTGTCCTTTATGGTGAATGTAGACTTAATTTGTCCTGATCAGGGAGCTGGTTGTAACCCGGGCCATGCCTAAAAGGTAAACTAAGGCAGTCATCATGGCACATTGCAGTATTGTGGGGACACTAGTTCTGCTGACCACCTGGGATTTCCCTCTCCTTGGAGGGAATTTCCTCTCAGTTCTTGTTGGGGCTATTGGACATGAAGTGAAATCTCCCTTATGGGGACACAGAATGAAGTAAAGACCTGACAGGGGTTCTGATCCTTCAAAAACTAAGAAAAAAGTTTTGGCTTCAGTTGCTGTTTAAACCTTTTAGGGGCCTGTGTTGGGCCAGTTCCGTTCCAGCTTCTGCCTCTGTACACAGATTTGCTTTTTTACTTTTAAGTCCTTTGTAACCTCACACCCAGAGAGCTGAGCGCTGCCAAATAGCAGTTAACACTTTCCCACGAGGTTGTGACTAGGGACACGCCAAGGTGTGCACAGGATAAGAGCCTCTGCGTGCTGGGATTGCGGACAGGAAGTAGCAGGGATCCTCTCTGCATTTTATATTTTCGTCAGCTTTACCTTTTTTTATTTCCCTCCAGCTCTTAAAGGGAAGCTGTGTCTTGATGTTGCAAAATGTTAGTTTCCTGCAAAATTAGCTGGTCCCCTGAGCGCTGGCTCTGACCTGTTTTGGGGTGCCTCCTTTACCTTGCATTGTCCTACGGAGCCACCCTTGTGTGTGCTAGTAAGCTGCGTGTGTCTCTACAAACACACAGCCGTAGCAGGGCAAGACATTCCCCTCTCCTCCCTCTCCAAGCTAGTAGATGGATGGCTGCTGGAGACTGCTCTGTCGCTCGTGATCTTGCACTGGACAGGAAGTTCAGGGAAGCTGAGCTGAGAGAGTTGGAGCTGTTTGGAAACATGATGACTAAGTGGTTGGGGAAAAATGTAAAGAAATACTTTGCTGGGCGATGTTACATAGTTACATAGTATTTGAGGTTGAATAAAGACACAAGTCCATCAAGTCCAACCTATTGATGTACAGTATATTTGTTTGATCTGGATTAATTATTGAAAAAAGGTTTGAGTGTAATACTGCTTTAAGCAATCATTCTTATAGCAGTAACACATACGTAGGGCGTGGAAGGGACGTGTCCTTTGTCTTCATACTTTGTGCTGATAGGTGTCCCTCTTTCTCACCCTAGAAAGTTGGGCGATAAGAAATTGTGGTCCTTACACTTCTTGCTGTGGTGAGTAAGCACAGCGCCATCTAGTGGTCAGTCCGGGAAATTGCATGAATGTGTGTAAATGTATGCCAAGCAATTGCAGTTACATAAAGTACAGTAAGCGATTTCAAGCATAGGAGGTGCAGTGCAGCATTCTGCATTAGGCCACCCATATAAAAGAAATGGGCTGTAATACTCCTCAATGCATGAAAGTTTAGGTCTGACTCCTGCTGCATTTTATTTTGCTGGACACCCCATAGCGCTGCAATGCAGATGCGTATAGAGGACATTAAAATGACCCTAACACATGTACAATGTGCTACCACATGTTACAGCAATGCAGGTAACCGTGAAGAAGCCACAGCTTTCAGAAAAACATTCTTAGAATCATATCGTTTATCAAATTCAAAGGTGAATCAGAAATATATAAAATAAATATATAACCGACATCACCGGTAATTGTTTAGCTCTCACTGTACCGGTATTTCCTGTGATGGATGTTTCATTGCACAGTATGTTACAGCCTAGGGAAATGTGTTTGGGTAACAAGGGAGTTTCCAGCGGCCTTGATCTTAGCATGTACACATGTGACCCAGGTAGTATTGTTATTTATTGAAGCATATAGACACACCGAGATTGATTTACTGAAGGAGGAGTGGAGCATGTTCACTCAAGTGAATTGTCACTACTTAGCTCAGTGAAGGCGGTGAAACTGTGCGGACTTCAACCATCCAATCCAGTTTTTGTTTTCCTAATAATTTTCCTTGCATCTCTTGGCGAAACTTATCAAAGTGAATACTCACCACATTCACTAAAAGGTAAGTGACAATTAACTTTTTCCAATTTCTAGCCTATATGGCTCCTATTGAAAAAATCTCACATTGTGCTTCTTGTTGTGTTTGTTTTAGGCTAGGTTCACACCTAGGCGACACCTCACGGCAATCGTGCACAATTCCACGTCAGGAGTCGCCACGATTCCGCCCGTGCTTCCGAACACGATCGTGGCTAGTACCAGCCGCACGTCATGTATCGCAATTTAAAAAAAAGGGGAGGTACTTGTACCTTTTTTTTTCTCTGCGATTGTTGCGCGGATGTCCCCCCCATTGAAATCAATGGGGCCGCGCAGCAATTGCTGCCTACATTGTGCAGGACTGCACGATCCCAGGACGCGTGTCCAGGGAGTCATGCGGTGTAGTGCAGGTGTGAACCTAGCCTTCAGCACAAGCACAAGGCGGTTAGAAATGAGTGAAATAAAAGTTGACCAATGGACTCCTTGGTATACGGTATATGCATTGTAGTCTCCACCAGAAGCAGTGTGACAATACAGGAGCACGGTTAGGAGATAGGGACAGGGCATTGTTACCCTATAAAAGGAAGTGTCAGATCAAGGATGTTAAAACTGGGCCAGCACAGACAGCAATTTGACTCCTGGAAGAGGAGAGGGCTGTGATGTGCAAGGAGGGAGGGTGCTGTGCTAGGGAACCAACTAGTTACATTTTGTGGCAAGTACAAAAGGCTCATTACAAGTAAATAAAATAAAAAAATGTATGGAAAGAAAAAAAAAAACTGCAACTAAGCAGGTAAAATGCTTGATTTTTCTTGTGCTTTCACTTGCAATTTTACTAGGTCTTTAAGTGTCCACCTACCACT